ATATACATTTTATTTATATCTATATATTTTGAGATGCTAAAAATGTAAACCACTGTCACATGGACAGCTGAGTTCTTTTGCTGATCAGTTTACTGCGTTTTACATTTGTAAATGAGCTTTAAGCAGTGTGAAGCCTGTAGTTAGGTTTACATTTATAGGCCAGTCATTGGACCTGAAGTATTTACCTGTAGTTTCAACTGTAGAAGACATTTTCATTGAACCAGATGAGTGGATAGAGAACTCATTCTCATTTACGACAATCTGGTAAAGAGGCAGTGTTCTGAATATCCGTGCTTCCTCGTCTAATTTTCCTACAGCAGTGTGTTACGAGTTTCGCTCTCTTTTACAGTATAGTAATACACTTTAAACGGGGTTTATTTTAAATGGGTGATGTTTCTCAAAAGTACATAACTAGTATAATTAGCAAAAATATACAATGTCTTGATTTATCTGTTATTCTGTGAACGACTAAACAATGGGAGAAATTTCTTGTTTACAGTATTTTATGATACTTGGCAATTGTATAGCACCCCTCAGAGTAAGGACTCCAAAGCGCTTTACATTACAGTGTATCATTCATCCATTCACACACTGGTGGGGATGAGCTACGATGTAGCCACAGCTGCCCTGGGGCTCGCTGACAGAGGCGAGGCTGCCGAGCGCAGGCGTCACCGGTCCCTCCAACCACCACCAGCAGGCAAGGTGGGTTAAGTGTCTTGCCCAAGGACACAACAGCAGAATTCTCTGTCCGGAGCCGGGATCGAACCTGCAACCTTCTGATTACTGGACAACCTGTTGAGCTACTGCTACAGATAAACATACAACAAGCAGTAATATAACAACTCCCAGAAGTAGCGTGTCTTCGGGTAAACAGCCTGTGGCGTAGTAATTGGTCTCCACATTTCCCCGAAGTAGCACATACTGATTATTAAGCACGGATAGTCGGAACAGCAGCAGCAACAGACACTTAGCTTCACACCAATGAACAGATTAGCTAAAAACACAAAAGACTGTTCTCGTATACGAAATGTAAAAGCATTTAAAGCAGACTTCAAATAATTTAAGTACTCAGAAGCAGTGGCGGCTCCAGAAATGTTTTTCTGCAGGTGCTATGAAGGAAGTGGTCATGTGTGCCTATTCTCTAAAACACCTTCAACACTAGCAGATACACATGCGTGCACAAAACCTCAACAACACCTGAAATCATTAATACATATCATAAACATGAACAATCGCTGACTTTTCCATGAAATCATAAACACATACAGCCACACAGAAAACCATCTATAGAGCTCCGGACCAAGCCCCCACAAAGCGGCTCAGAAATTGGTCTCAACCCGGAAGTACCAACAATTGCAGTTCCACCCTCATCCACTAGGGGCTGGTGTCAGAAGCGAGCAAATCCTCATTGAGTCCCATGTTAAAAAAAACAATTTCACAGCAGAAATAAACATGTTTACAGCCTGGTTCCAAAACATGTTTTTTGTTTAAATGATCTAGTTTACACTCATGACAACTCTGAGGGGGGTGAATATTTTTCCCACTCTTCTGTTTAAGTGTATTAAAAGCCTAAAATTCTGTATAATTAATGAGCATCAGACCCACGTGACCACAGAGCTAGCTCCGTGAAAAAGGCCTCAGTAGAGCCTCGGTCTGGCTTGGAAACTGTTCCGGGATTTTGAGTCTGTGTGTGTGTATTCTTGTTTGGATATTTTTTGTGCAATTGTTGGACAAAATGACTTGCTGTGGCATTAATTGCACTCAGCGCCGGCGCTCCGCACACGCACAGCGCGTAGGGCACCACGCCAGGGGAGGGGCACCAAACGCAAGCTTATGAAAAAATAATATATATATATATATGATAAAGACAGATTTCAATTAGAAGATGTGCAAAGCAAGTTAACAGCATGTTTACTGAGAGAAAACAATACAAAAAGGAAAGGAGATGGACCGTGTCCACTTTTCACTCTCTGTCCGGGGCGTCCGGACTGGGGGGGTTCTTGTATTGATGAAAATGTCTGGCTTTTCATCCAGGAGCAGGGATCGAATTATGGGGGAGCTGTATATCCTACACATCCAGGGGAGCCGGAAAAATTTTTCTACCCATATTACATCATTTATGGACTCTTTTGAGCAGAGAGCGACAGAGCGATGATCGTTGTTGCGCAGCGCTCCAGGCTGCTGCTTCCAGCGCACGGTCCATTCTCAAAGTGGCGCAACCAAAAAACTATAATTAACACACGATCGTTCATGTCCGCACATGTTCTCTATTTTCTGTCCTATTTGTGCCTGAAGCGCTCTGCTACTGCGGAGCTCTTCACCTGTGCTGCGGTGATTTCACCTCACTGATGCAGCATCGAAACGCGCTCTCCGCTTTGCGGTCAGGAGATCCCTTTGATCTGCTCAAAAGTAACTGATGAGGTGAAAAAGTAAGAATCCAGGCAGCAGTTTTTCTGGAGAGTTTAGAGGAGATGCAGGAAGATGAGAGACAGACAGGACAGGAAATAGTTAAATAATAACAAGAAAACAAAACAAAGTGTTGAAAAGTAAAATGTAGGTAGATTTATCTCCACTACACATTTTTACCTGTATAAAACAATAAGTTACACACATGTAGTATTTATACATCTGATACAATTCAGATCACCTTCAACACTCAGTCACACACCCAGGGCTGTTTCAAGACATTTTGGGGGCCAAGGCATAATTCCCCCCCCACCCCCACACACACACACACACACTAAATATCAATCCCACTTTTCGGAAAATAATAAGCAGTTTGTGCATACAAGAGAATTAAAGAGAATTTAAGGCGAAGCGCTTGCACATACTGTGTTATTGTGTTGTTTTTTTTGTGTGTGTGTGTGTGGGTGGGGGGTGGGCACCACGAAGCCTTTGTGCTTAGGGCACCAAAATAGCTAGCAACGGCCCGGATTGCACTAATAGAGCGTCCAAGGAGTCTCCACTTCATTTTTTTCGGTAAGTAAAATTATATTTATGTATTTTAGGTCACTGCCGAGCTGAGCTTAGATTTTAACATGTACTGTTTAACCATGAAATTTAAATGTAATAGGGTAAAACCCAGTGCATTTAACATAATGCTGCACTTTAGAAAATGGGTTGAAATATAACATGTTGGTGCAGCTGGGTTCCCACTATCGGCTTGTGGAGCTCTCGGGGGACCGATGTTTTCCACCCGGTTCTCCCCTCCCCGCAGCCCGGCGCATCTCTGTCTGATCACGGCTCCTGACTGCTGCGCGGGCTGACGGCTTGTGGAGCTCTGGGATGGAGACCTTTCCACCCGGTTCTCCCCAGCGGCATCTCTGCACATCTCAGATCGCAGCGGCGCTTGTCTGCTGTGCGGCTGCCGGCTTGTGGAGGTCTCGGAGACCTCTGTGTTCCACCCGGTTTTACCCAGCGGTCAGCCCGGCATATCTCTGACTCAGAAGCTCTGGTGTTAACTCCGGTTGTAGCTAGGTTGCTACCTCCGTTAGCTTAGCTCCCACCTCCGCATTAGCTTTGGGTTAGCTTCAGGTTAGCTTGTAGCTAGTTCGACCGGGTGTCATCAGTCGATCCCAGCCTTACAGCCACACCCTCAGCTCCACCTCTCTTCCCTTTTGTGGAATTGTCTGGGCTTGACGGAACCTGTGACACGGTCAAAATAGCGGTGGTGGCCACCTCCCATTTTAGTACAAAAACTTATTAGATTCTATGGAAACCCATTGTCCATATATGTATGTTGATGCTCCGGACGCATGGATGTAATTTTCACTTTAGAAGGGGGGGGGGGGGGGGGGGGGGGAATCTTTACAGTAAGTTCTGATGGGAAAAGGCTTCAACACAAACGGTTGTTTTCTGCTTGGTCCTAGAGCTCAACCAGTGTCAGTTTAATATAGCGTAATATTGTTTTTGGATGGTAAAAAGTGCAGGGGTCAAAACTTGACTTTGGAAAAACTGTGTGTGTGTGTGTGTGGGGGGGATGTCTCCCCCCAAAAAAATTACGTCCATGTCCGGACGTCACGTGACTCAGAGAGTAGACGCCATGTTGTCTGAGATCACTTCCAAAGATTCATTCATTTCTGACTGAACCTGTGGAAATTCGGGCAACAAAAACCGATCCATTTTACCACTAGCTCTAACTTTCTCTCGTTTGCAGGTGGAAATTAGGTCAAAGGTTAACATCAATTTCCTGTTTTGGTTAAGTTTTTTCTATCTATATGATAATTTACTGATTATTTTTGTTTTGTATGTTAAATATGATCACATACACACGAAAAATTAAAATTAAATTGTAAAAAAAATACATATATATTTACTTGGGGGTGCTATGGGGGTGCAATGACTAATCCAGGGGTAGCTCTAGCGCCCCCCTGGTGCCGCCACTGCTCAGAAGCAGGCACATGGGTCAGAAACTGATAGCAACGACTCACTGAAGGTAGATAATGAATTGTAGGTAGTGACGGTCAGTGAACTATAGCTTTTGTGTTCTCTTGCTGAAGGATGGATTTAACAAATTAAAACTGGGAAAGTTGAAAACTGAACCCTTTGTGTGAATATAAACAATTTACAATTAAAGGGTTTCCAGTGGTCAGTAAATGCGTGTTTACTACAGTGCCAAGTTAACATGATTCAATACCATGTGATATGCAAAATATTTATTATGGGGATTATTAATATTTCTATTATTTTGCAAAGCAAGACATTTGTCTACTTCACTAAGCTATAGTGATACAGTATGGAAGCAGAAGCATATTTGACCACTATCCAGAAAACACTGGAAACCGGACAAACTAGTACAGCAACAAGTGTTCTGTTAAATCAAGAGTCAATATTGCCAAACATCTTTAATATTCAAAACAAGTAAAACCGGTAAACGTTCTAAAAGTTGAGAGGAAAGTTGTGCTATGTGAAATACTGTGTTTTAGTTGAAGGCTTTCCAAACCCGCCCACTTAAAACTTTTCCATACAACACCCCCCCCCCCCCCCCCCAAAGTCTCTGTTCCTCTGAGCCAAGCTGCTAAACTTGCAGCCTTATTTCAACACTTTCACGTAGTTTTTAGGAACCAGAGCTCGTTTCCCCCTGAGATCACCCAGGAACCACTCTTCATCAACAGACTCCAGGTTGGTTATTATGTCCCCGACCTGTGAGAAACAAATCAATTCATTGAAATTGCTGTTTTTCATTAATTCATCAATAGAAACATGCATTCACCCGTATCGAGAGCTCCTCCTCACAGTCTGATGTGTAGCTGTACAACGCTCTAGCTCTCTCACCACCTGCAGCCCCATTAGGCGCTTGTCCTGCAGAAAGCACAAACACTAAATGGAGTTACTGATCCAAGTAGGAATGGAAGGAAATATTGATACACTAAAATATTCTGATATGATACTGAATCGATGTTTAAAAGCAATGTATTGATTTTTCATTTCGAATTTTCATGCAAACGTCTACTTTATTTCTTTTGTGTGGTGTAAATTTCAATCCGCCTGTAGGTGGCAGCAGTGTTACCGGCTTCACACTGATGGAACAAAGATCTCTTCAATCGTCTTGGAATTAAACTAAGTTCAGTCTTAAAAACTGCAAATTTCATCTGGCTTTTAACTTTACAACATGCATCGTCTCTGCTGTGTTGAGATGAATATATTTCCAGGTTCTTGCCAAAACACCTCTAGATCCAGAAAATTCCAAAAATATTTTTTCTGCCTTCATGCTGCGTTTATGATTTCCTCAAAGGTTAAATGATGGAATACCGTTTAATTAGGGCACTGCTGAGCTTATTAAGAACAGACTAATAAGAGTAATAAATCTTTATACCTGAGCTGGCCTTGATGAAAGCCCTGGGGAACATGCCTTCTCTGCCGCCGAGCCTGCCACTGCTCCACTCCTCATTGATGTGATCGGTGATCAGGATTCGGTCACCTTGTTGGAAGGACAGCTCATCAGCTGATATTGCAGCATAATCATACAGGGCTGTTGCCCATTCCGCGCTGGGCTTAGAAGCCTAGAGAGATGAGAATGTGTGATTTAATTAAGCATTAGTAAAATTAACCTTTGACAAACACAACACTGTCTCAACCAGCATTTGTTGTCGCTTTTAAAAATACTGGTTACCTGAACAGGTTTGGCAGCCTCAGACTGCATGCAGGGAGAAGCAGCCACACCTGTGGAAATGAATTTTCAATAGAACACTTATTTTAGTTGATTATATTTTTTACTCTTCTTACAATATTTGTGATTATATGACAATACATTTTATAAGTACCAATCAGAGCCAGTGCAGAGAAAATAAGAAAACTGTCCGAATGTATTTTCTTTCTAACCAAACTTTGATCAGGAGGAGTTGCCAGAACTCATGACCTGTGATATGCCTGCGGGCTCAACTTTAGTAAACAGACTTAATGAAATAGAAACAAAAGATCAAATTCCTGACGTGCCACAGAAGGGAACGTGGTGACTGGAGTCTCATTTGGGACCCTATGGCTGCTTTGAGTGAGATCAAGAGGGCACTGGACTATTTGGTCCATTGAGATCAGCACATTAGCTGGCACACGTCTTCTCACCAGGCAGTGCCACTTTGCTGGACTGCAGCTGATTTCGAGATGGGGGCAGATCTTCAATGATGTCCACAAAGTTAAGGGGGAAGATGCCGATGGAGGTGCCGATCTGTCCCCGAGCCCAGTCCTCCCCCACCAACTCCTTCAGCTGGATCATCTCCCCTTCAGAGAAGGACAGCTCATCACTGTGCTCCCCATCGAAGTTAAATATCGCCACACATCTCGGACCACTTGAAGACAGATTTTGAACATCCAGTTAAAAAGGTTTGTAAAGGTCAATGCAAAGATTTAGTAAAATCAGTAAAACACCTGATTGTTGCTGGTTTTGGCTTAGTTTTCTTTTTAGGGAGTGATTTTGGTGAGTTTGACTAGTTGGGACAAGAAAATAGCCGTTAATTTTATTTATTCATTTTCCTGACATGATAAACTGACCAAACAGACGACTCGTTTCATGAAACCCACCAAGACTTTGGCATAATTGACAGGAAAGTAACCAGTAGATCCATCACAGGTGCCTTGGTACCACTGGTTGTCCAACTGCTCCACGTCAGTCACAAAATCTCCTTCTCGGAGTCTCAGCTCTCCTGGATTCTCTGTGAAAATCAATCAAATCTTAACCCAAACAGATTAAGAGCAGTGAGACCTCCCATCTTCGTAAAGATATAAATCTACGGTGACATCAACGTCATTTAACCCAACCAACCCCAATGATGGTCTAAAGGCATTTCTACAGTGATTACCTGGATCAAAGTCGTACAGAGCCTGAACCGTCAGTCCACAATCGTCTCCACCTGAAGCACCCTGCAGAGATGAAGCAACTGTTCTTGTCTCAAGTCTCATTGAAGATTATTATGAAAAAGATCCAACTGCATCAGAGTACATCATTTACCTGTAGTGGAGGTGTGCCCAAAGGAGTTATGACCTTCATTCGATATTTGTGAACTCTCCCTGTGGTTTCGCCAACCTGGCACTCAAATTCATCGCGGTTAATCTCGTTCAGGAGCAGAAGAACTTCGTTTTTCTTTTGCAACCAAACAACATTAGATTCAACTATTAGGGGAAGGAGAGTATGCTAGGGTGTTTAGTAATGTAGCGAGTGATTCACTTCCACGTAGGAGCAATGTATTAGGGAGTGTTTTAGTCACCTGCAGTGTCAGATGTCCTGAATCACTCCCATCGTAGTCAAAGGATGCAATCCCATGAGGGAGCTGAAGCTGGGATAAGAGAACCAAAGTGACAAATGTTTAAGATGCAGGATTTATATTTTTAGGTCACTCTGGTTTGCACAAGGATATTTCTCACTGTGTATTTGATGTAGAGACGGTGGCCTGGACAGGGTCTTGGAGGCAAAATGAGTCCTTTTTTGGGGGGCATCTGTGCCAGGTATTTAGGTGGCTTTGACTGAGATACATCTGTTGCCTGAAGGGTCGACGGGAGTTGTCTTCCTGGGCCTGCTTTAACCAGAGAAGGACGGGGCGGGAGGGACTTTTCCATAGTGGGTTTCCTGAAGCCCAAAACCATTAAAAGAATCATTTAATCTTGTTTTAGAACATTTGAGCCTAAACTTAGTTGAATGTCCACATCCTTACCGAGGTGGTAGCAATGGTGTTGGACTGACACCAAAAGAGTTCTGAAAAAATAATTTAAGTCCCATTGTGATTTTCATAAAGGCAAAGAGAAAGAGTTGGCCCTGTAGCATAGAAACTGCTGTGACTCAACATGAGCAATGCCTTCATGAGGCTAATCAAACCGCTTTATTAGAAATCACTAAACAATGGTGGAAACATTTAAAATTTCACCTTTTATTCTCTACAAATATGCAGATAAAGTGTAGGTGCAGCTAATTTCAGGTTTGTGGCTGTTCTGTTGTCCTACCTGAAGGGACATTGAAGACTTGGTGATTTGTTTGTAGCTCGCAGACGGGGTTAGAGGACTCACAGGCTTCTGAGTTGGAAGAGGATGACCACTGTCTTTAAAGTTGCCTACCACTGAGGAGAGGTCTGTTTTTAGCATATCGTATAAAACGTATGTGGTAATTTATTACTTGTATAACTAGCATTGATTTATAACTGTCCCATAACGGTGTGCAAAATTCTGGCAGAGAGAACTCACCTGACCCAGTCATGCTGGGAACCCTGATAGTGGTTGGTCTTTTTCCAATACTTGGCCTGTTGACAGAGACTCCATCGTCATCCATGCTAAACTGTGGTTTGACCGGGGGGTTACCTGAACAAAAATGTTTTTTTTTTATGTTACACTCAGAATAAAAATAGTCAAGAGACAGAAACCCCCAACCAAAAAACAAACAAAAAAAGAGACACAAAACATACCTCCATTCTAAAACATGGAAGTGGTGGTGTCATGGTTTAGACAGAATGCTACTCACTGAATGAGTTGTCCAAATGGTTGTTATTTGTGAACATGGAGGCTGAGTTGTGGATGTTTATATTCAGATTAGGCTTAAGAGGTTCTTTGAAAGGTTTCAACGGAGGGATGGGTGACATCAGTGGAGGTTCCTCTTCCTCGAAGCCATCAGTACTGGTCAGGGCAAAAGGATTTGGGCTGTTTGATGTATTCCCTTTGCTGTGAAAAGCCTCTAGCTCGTTTCTCAAGGACTGTCTCACCGGTTTTACAGGGGGTTGCACTTTGGAGCCTGTGAAAGGGTTTTGGGGGTTTTGTGCAGTTGGCTCATTTTTGTTGGTGTCGTCTAAACTTGTACTTCTAAAAGCTGCAGATGGTTTAGCAGCAACTGGCGGTCTGCAAGAAGCCGTCCTTGGCGGAAGGCTTGGTGTGCCTATTTGAGATGCATTTCCCTCCTTGGCATCAGCCTGGCTCTCAAAAGCCTGGATCCTGGCACGGAAATTCTGCTGATTGTTGCTCATCTTCCCATCAGCATCTTCGTCCTGTAACTTGTCTGATTGGTCAACAATAAAAATGTCTTCCACAAGATCGTCAATTTTACTAAGAACTTCCAGTAAATCCTGTAAACACTTATTGGTGGAATCCTCTTTGGAATCAAATGGGAAATTGTCCAAGTTTTCCGCTAGTTTGACTAAATTTTCAACTCTGGCTTCTTCCGACGGAGGGTTGTTTAATTTTGTCTGAGGACGGGGAACGGGTTGGTGGCTATTCTTGGACTTAGAAAAGGTAGAAATAGCAGCAACTGGAGGATCCGCAGGAATATTCCAGCATATGGTGACAGATCTAATGCATGTTTGAGAAGACTTTGCTTTTTTTTACGTCAGATTTAACGTCACTTCCTCAGTGACTGTGAATGCTGTTTTTGGTCCAACCTTCACCCGTCTTTCAGATAAAAGTTTTTTCTCCCCTCAGTGATTTTGGTAAAGATGTCCTCAGGCTTCTTTGGCTTTTTACCTGGAAGATTAAAAAAAACATGTAGAGAAAACAGAACAGCCATTAAAAGCTTTATTTTCAAGTTGCTTGAAAGAAATACATCAAACAACATAGAGAAGAATTAAAAACCAAGAAAGAAAGGCTCCTACCCAAGATTTATGACCTCAGTGACTGAGAAACTGTCTATTGAAACTATTTCCACAAAAGGTACTGGTGTCAGTACTTACGGATTTGGCAGGGACTGCACCACCCTACCTTACCGAGCTGTTAATAGCATATGTGCTCCTCTGACAAGCACCTACTGGTGGTTCCCAGGGCAAAGCTCAAGTCACATGGCAAACGTGCATTTGGGATTTTAGCACAAAAACCAACTTCCACTTGAGATTCGAACCACAACCACAGTATGGAGCTTTAAAGCTAAGGTCCCTTGGTATCTTAGGACGACCTAAATTGCGTTAGATCCTTTTGTTTGGGTAGACCTGTGGGCACTTACCTGGTCTGCTTTTTTAGTGTATTTAGTGATCTAGCTGACACGCCACTGTACCACAGCTCAGTACATCTATTTGATCTGTTTTGTGAGTTTTTAACCTCTCTTTTGTTATTTGGTCATTTTTTAACTGTCCAGCACTTTAAAATGTAATGAAATAAAATGAGACTCTTCCTTAGCCGTCGCATAGTTTATGTCAGTAACTCACCGCTCTCAGCAGGAGGGGAAGTGCTGCTCGTCACGACACCGATGCTCCAACAAGGGGGCGGGGGTGGGCTTCACAACGGGATTCTCCTGGGTCGTCTCTTTAACCACCTGCTCACAGGATGGTAGGTCGGAGTTACGACAAAGAGAAGCACACCCAAGCCTTTTTCATCACACATTTCCACCTATTGTGCATACAACGTGCACAGAAATATTTACAGAATCGATTCTGAAACAATGACTGAGGTATTTTTTTTATTTAGGTCAGCTAAAATGTTGTTCTCATTTAGCATTTTAAAATAATTCCAAAAGAAATTGTCTTTTTTCATATCAAAATGTCACGTTTTTATCATGAAACCCAGCATCCACTTACAGCAATGGGGAATTCTTGCAAGATAATATTTTATCCTTTGATTTCAGACCAACTATTATTGTCATCATCATTTTGTTATTACCATTTTATTACTAAAGTTTAAATTTGATTAGTTTTTTAATCTAAATATATATTTTAGAAAAGTTCTCATGGTGTCGTACTAATCCTATAAACAAAACAAAAGCACAGGTCTCAGGAGACGAAGGCTAAAACAATCAGATAAATTCTACCTGAGAGACAATCTGGATGTTGGAGGACCAGCCTGATCCCAGGGCATGAACCACAGAACCTCCCGAGAACCAGCTGTTTCTGGTCAGAGGTTCTACTGAGATGTTTGGTCTGGTGAATGACAAACAGATTCATTTTTAAAGTGACACGTACACTAAAAAGACAGCAAATGTAATCTAACTGCCTGATTCCACAAGTGAGGCATTTTCCCATAATGAACACTGAAAATATTTACGGTACCTTTTCTCTCTTCTGCAGTCCCTCTGGACAGTTTGTTCTTGCTGAAAAATGAAATAAAAAACAAAATCACCTTTATCACATATCTTCAGTGAATTTTGTTACTTTAAAAGTTTATAGTTTAGGTTATTTTATTAAAAAGATGGCGGCATTACGTATTGCTACAAAACTCCACTAAAGCTAAACTGAAGTGATACGATCATAAAGGGCGTTTGATCTCGTTGAAAGTAAACTCACTTGTTTTGGTAGCAGCTTGTGCAGAAGACAGAGAACACGGACTGAAAAACGACAATAGGATATTCCATTAATGATGTGTTGAAGTAGACATTTTTAGAATAGGACATTTTTAAACACACTGCAGTATTGGATATCATAGCTACTGCTGCAGCTCACCACTCCCTACGGAGATGGGTCATTTCACCAGTGTGTGATGATGACTGTGGGTCTTAAACTTTTACTTCATCTTTACATAGTATTGACAGTCTGGACACTTTTAAAAAACAGCTGAAGACCCTTTTATTTAAAGCTGCTTTTACCAAAATCTTTCGTTTTCTCATTTTTAACCTTAATTTGTAATCCTCTTTCACTTATTTTATAATTTCCTGACTTTGTTTTTCTGATTGAGGATGTGGGCATGCAGAGCTGGTGAGCTGAGGCTGGAGCAGAGTGGGGGCTGGTTAGCTCCATGGAGGGGATTTCTGCATCCAGCTTCTCGCATGTTGATTTGCGCTCATGGACATTACGAATAATCAATCTCTCTCTCTCTGTGTGTGTCGTCCTTTAAGGTAATATGGGATAAATGAATAATTACCTATCAACTGAAATATGAAAATACTGTGTGGTTTAAAAAATGGCAGCAGAGTATTTACAAGGATTGGGAAACATGAATGAAAACAGTGTAAATGCAATAATGGTGCTGTTCTGTGACAAAGAGAAGGCGAAAGCTCTTACCTGAAGTCTAAAGGTAGTCTGAAGGTTTTTCAGGAACATCTGCAAGGAGAAAATAAAAAGAAAAGCAGTTTTTTCAACAAAATTATTATTAAGGCTTCATTTCACTTTTAAAGTCAGAGTTTCAGCATGACTTCCTGGGTTGTGTCTGCTGAGCAAGGTTTCTGTTAAATATGATGAAGAATGGTTGTGGTGGTTTCAACTCATTTGCCTTGTTTCAATAAGAAAATCTGGAAACTTCTAAAATAAAAATAAATAAACATACAATGAATACATATGGGAACTGACATGTTGCATTTCCAGCCCTACTTTATTTACTCTAAACTGTCCTTTTGACCTCTCTGGATTACAGCTTCAGGCATTTCTGCAGGACAAAGAAACCGTCTCCGAGCCGTCCTTGGACAGGTTCTGCTCAACCACCTGTCCTAATGGCAGAAAAACAGACCCAGAACCCCTCTGATCCATCTGAATTGGAATTATTTTTAGTTTAGTGAAAATAAATGTTCATTTCCCTGAAGAGTTGGAATGAAATCACCCAGAAAACAGCCGTAAACATGCTAGTGTTAGCTAACACACCATTAACTGAAACAGATTTCTCAAGCAGATTTATCTATTTATGGTGCTGAAATCACACAGGTCCTCAGTAACTTACAGGTTTAGGAGTCAGCTGAATAAAGCTGACTCAGTCAGCCCAACCTCATATAATTCTGTCATTCTGCAGCAGAAATCCCATGCACCCTTAGCAAAGATTTAGACTGCTGAACCACCTTTTTCCTGGAGTTACTTTAAATCTAAAACTGAGACAGATGCATGCCACTAGCCTCTTCAGATGAGCTGCAGGTTCCCCAGAATACGCAACGCAAATATGACAAGCTTTAAATTCCAACTCTGACTCTCAGAGGATGTGACTTTTTATGGTTTCAACACAACTTTTGAGTCAAATTCATCACTCATTATTGAAATCAGTGACCAAAGCTCTATCACACACATCAGGTACTTTCTAAGGGTGCAACTAAAACCAACACCCAGCAGCAGCTGGTTTCGGTCACAACCCATTCTACCGGACTGCTTCCAGTCCAAACCAGAACGTCAACAGCAGCTCAGAAACCAGCAGGACCAACCAGTCAGATGACTTTCAAGGAGGATTTGAAACACATTCTGTACATTCACATTATTTCATGGAATATTTGGCAGTGACCTGATTTACTTGTATTATAATCAAAAGAAGCAAAGTGACTAATAATCTATGTCCAACATGGATTTGAGGGTCTTCACATTTTTATGGAATACTGGGAGATCAAAGCAGCATTGTTGTTTCTACCTGCAGCCTGAAACGATGACGTCAGAAATCCACCTGTCACACCTGTTGCCTGTTAGAGCGATGGTTCTGCTGGTTAAAGTTTAACAGCTTGTTTAGGCCAGAGCTGACACAAGAGCCCTGTTTTGACCACCTTTGATGAGATTTGACACGTGAAACCCTTTTCCTGTACACACACAGTCTGATAAAAACAAGCAGACTTGTGTGATCAGCTGCAGCCTGATCAGAGCTAACATTCAACCCCGACTCCAACACCATACCGATAAAACTCTCCCATCTCCTACCTGTGTAGAAGTTTGCAGATAAGAAAATCCATGGTGGGTAAACCTTGTTCCCTTCAAGAGCTCTTCCTCGTGGCTCCTTTAAGTGTGATTAACAAAAACCTGAAAGCAGCTGTAACAACCCCCCCCCCCCCCCCCCCCCCCCCCCCCCCACACACACACACACACACACACACAAAGAAAAAAGGGACGGCCTTATTACATTTCTCTCCTCTTGTGCTTACTCGACCAATCTGAGGAGCTGGAATGTGGCTGTTCAGGAAGTATCAGCGCTGCTTCGTCACTGTTCAGGTTAAGTCTCGTCCTTTGTTGTTTTAGACATGATGAGTAATTATTAAAGCAACAGCTTGAATTGCAAAAGGACAAAGTCATTAAGCCACACGACTTCACTGCTTGGACCAGCGTTTTTAAAGAGGTCAGAGACGAGGTCATGCCTCAAGTGGAGGAGTTTAAGTATCTCGGGGTCTTGTTCACGAGTGAGGGAAAGCTGGAGATGTGAGATCGACAGGTCGATTGGTGCTGCATCTGCAGTGATGCAGGTGATGTACCAGTCTGTCGAGGTCTAAACACCTGTTATTTCAGTTGTACACGTTTAACAGTTTAATCTTTGCATTTAGCTGAACTGTGAAATTAGCAGCTCATGCTAAATTTGGTAACTGATTGTTGAAGTTGTTGAACAGCTGAACTGAAGCTGAAACTAAGCTACACTGGTAAATGAGCTGAATGTAGTGAAATATGTGAAAGCAAAAAGCACCAAGAAGCAAATAAAGCACAAAAAGTAAGTGAAGAATCAAGAAAACAAT